AATGTTGAGAAGAAATTAAAGAACTTAAAAATTGGTGAAATAAAGAAAAATGAAATACTAGATGATGTCGACAAATTACAGTTATGTGAATCGGAAATTGTATTTCGGAATGGTTCATCCTTATTTTTGAAGAAATGAAGCAAAACGGAAAAAGAATTTATTGGCATATGGAAAGTGACGTTGTCGGATATTGGATCAGAATGGAATAATGGATTTTGCAATTGTCCAAACTTTTTTTAAAGAATATATTTGCAAACATGTAATTGGTATGGCAATTAGATTGCAATTTTGCAAACCCCCTCTAGCAGCAAAGGATGAACCTTTGGGTGAGAAAAGAAAACGAGGACGACCACGAAAAGCAACAAAAGCTTTGTTAATCGATTAACTGTTCAATTAAATTCTTTACTTATATATTTCTGTATTTTTACTTAACATAAATTATATGTTTACTTGTCAATTCTTAATACTTTGTCTAGAAAATTAAACTTTTTCATTGAGAATTTAAATAAAATACTTAGCAAATATTCTTTTTTTTGCTTAGACTTATGTTCAATAATTTACTTAGAAAAAATGGAATTTTTTACTAAGCTTTTATCTAAAATTACTTAGCACTTAAATAGGTGCCATTGATATCCTTTGACTTTTTTCATGTTTTTCAAAACATCTAATATATTTATTACGATTGAAAAATCCTTTAATAGAATTATATTTTTTACAGTATGTGAGCGTTCGATGCTACTTGCATCAGCATTAGGCAGAATTCCAGCTAAACTAAACTTGTGAAGACAGACTGTAAAAAAAGATTATTATTTTTTTCTTTATCAATTTGAATGTCTTGGATAAATTCAAGTATGAAAACTTGATGGTTTTCCTATTCTTTTTTCACGTGAATCCGAAAACATTGCTCATCGTGATGAAAATTTCAGATCGTCGAGTAATTCCTTATACTGGTGAGGGTTCGTTATTATCTTTTTTTATTGAGATTTACTGTCCCTATTTAATGAGGTTGACACAGTGTTTGTGATTACCTTGAGACGGTACCTTCTGTGTTTCCGTTTTGGATTGAACAATGGTTCACAATTTTCTTGAAGATCCTGAAGAGACGGACCGCAAATGCGAATGTTATACTTCCTGATAGTAAAGAAACCAATGAAACTGAAGAATGTCATGAATATCTGGATCATTCTACTAATAATGATATTGGTTAGTTGTACACTCCAGCAAAAACAAGCTCTATTTTCTTATTTCAATATTAAGCATGTTACCATTTGCAAATGAATCCTGCGATAATATAGTCGGTAAGCAAACGATAAGCAGTCGTGCAAAATGATTCAAGTGCACGTATGGCTCCCTGAGATCGTATTTTGCACCATCGTATTCTTTCAACATTTCTATTTAGGTCAACAATGTCAACTTGAAATTGATCGGATATGTATGTTAAATAAGTCGGCGGAAAGTGTTTTAAAATATCCATCGGTCATATTAACAGCCTCTGATTTTGCTGTTGCAACGCGTACTTTGTCTAAACTTGAGCGAAAGCAAGTTGCAGACACAATGCTGACAAAGAATGTGCTGAAACAAGACATGTTTTTTGTTACACATCTACTTAATAATAAACTAATTATCTACACCGGTTATGCGAAATGTGTGCCGATCAAGGATGATGAAGAGTTACGGTTTAATGTCATTAACATTATAAATGAATTTGAATTGAGTTGGGAACGATTTCAGTCGTATTTTGATACACCAACAATAGGTGTTTGAAGTTTTGTTAATATATCGCTGTTTTCTATTGTCTATCTTCTAGGTGTTTTGACATAAACTAAATTACTTAGGGTTGACCAAAACTTCGTAGAACGGCGATTCCGCCCTCCCCTCCTCACACCGTGATCAAAACTTTTGGTCAGCCCTAAGTATATTCTGATAGCGCTGGAAATTCTCTATCGTCCTATATATTTGTCTACTGTCTTGCATTTATCTATTGCAAAAATAACTAAGAGTACAACGAAGACACCCTCAATTGACAAGCGTGCCTGCATGATAGTCAAATTATTCTTCAACACAGAAATGCAAGATAGAACAAAAATATACAGAATGATAGAGAATTTGAAGCTCTATCAGAATGTTTAATTCCTTTTAGAAAGATTTATTTCCATAGTATCTATAATTTGAAAAAACATAAAAAGTAGCGAATTTTCGTACTTATCAATTAAGGGTATCTTCATTGTGCTCAAGTTATTTTTGCAGTAGATAAATGCAGGACAGTAGACAAATATATAGGGTGATAGAGAAATTCAGGGGCTATCAGAACATACTTAGAACTGGCCAAAGGTTTTGATCATTATAAAACCTAAAAAGGGTTCAGGAAACTGCAAATATACGGAGCCCTTTTTAGGATTTACTAAGGATTTTTCACGCTTACTGAATCCTCTTTAACCCTTTCTTGCCCTATGGCCCCCTATAGGGACCATTTTATAAAAATTTAGTTCTCTTGAACTATGAGACTTTTGGAAACAGATTTTATATCAACTTAAAGTCTATCTATTGTAGACTTGAAATCAACAATCTGGATCTCATATTTATTATAAAAATAATTTTTCGCGATAATTTAAAATTTAAAAAATTCAACTTCTTTTAAAGTGAATGTAGCTCAGCTCAGCCAAGAGATGAAGACTCGGTTCAAACGTGATTGGATAGAGAATTGAAAACTGAACAAACGTGGGGTTTGACAATGTCTCCGTATTATATGAGCTTGGTTGCCATGAATTTTTTCTAAATTAGGGGGAAAATGTCAGAATTCTGCTCGTACTTCTCAATTTTCTCCAACAGAACTCAACTTCTATGTAATAAAAATATCATATTCAAAATCAGGATCAAAAATCGAATCAACTGGTATGTATTTCGAAAGTTTCACTAGATTTTTATTTTTTTAGTGAAAACCTCGATGATTTTTCAACGTGAAAATTTGAAAAATTTTAAAGTACTCGAATAGGATAGAGATACATATCCATCGATTCGATTTTTGATCCTGATTCTGAATATGATATTTTTATTCGTCAAAACCGTTAGATTTAGTCAAAGGCAAGAAAGGGTTAAATTTCAGTTGCAAATGAAATATCTATTTTTTAGAGGATAGTTCCTTGTATTTGAAATGATAGTATATTTTCTTATAAGTTCGGCATTTAACGATTCTGTTGTTATATAAAAAGGATACGAATTAAGTTTTGAGCTCTTACTAACACTTTACTTTTCAATATAGTTGTCAATTCAAAAAGAAATCGCGGT